ATCACTTGAGATACACCCTGTATATCTATATCTAATTTTGGACCTCCCCCCTTCTTTACTTTACATATTGGCAATGAGTTCACTTTTTAATTTTTCAATTACTTGCATATCTTTGCAATCTTCAACTATTTCTTAATTATAACATTACCTTTTACAGCAACAACGTGTTGACATGAATATTGTTAGTTTGTTTATTTCCACTGCTAAATTCTTATAAATATATATATATATATATATAGGGTGTCCCACGGTGACGAGACATTAGACATACTTCAGAGACTACTTCGATTTTAATTTTGAAAACTTGGGCAATTGTGTTTTCGGGCATGCCCTTCTCAACTAAAATAATGGCGCCCACCAAACGTTTCCGGTTATACCAGAAGTTGACGTTAGGTGGACGCCATTATTTTAGTTGAGAAGGGCATGCCCTAAAACACTATTTTCAAAATTAAAATCCAAATAATCTTTAAAATATGTCGAATATCTCGTCACCGTAGGTCACCCTGTAGATAGATACAGAAATGATGATGAAAAACATTTAATCTTGTATTTATAACTTGTGGCGGTACAGTGATTTGGTATAGATAAATTACACTGCCATCATTTTATTTCATTAGAAACAGTTATTTTTTATGGTAACTGTTAATCACCGTTTAATTGTTGGTAACGGCGAATAATGATATACATAATTTGTGGTTTCAAGCCAATTATCCAGCGTGAGGCCATATCTGCGTTATTGATACCAGAGTAACAATCTATGTCTGTTAAGTTTAATTATATATGTTGATGTATTATTATTATACAAGTTATTAAGAATAGCAAGTGCTGCATACAGGGTGCTCCGCGAATACCTTTGGGTAAAAACATGTAGTTAAGGAATACAAATTGAAATCTGAAAATTTGTATGCCGAGGTCTTTCGTTACATCATTTTCAAAGATAATTACATTAATTCAGGCACATTATTAAGCTTACCCATTATATGAAGATGAGTACTTTCTGGTGAAAATATATTTAAAAGCATTGAATTTGAATGATTGTTGATTGTTTTACATTTAGCTTTAATAGTGTGTTTATAAAAAATTCTTAATAGCCAACGAAAATCGTAAATATGTCAAAACAAACAAACAAATACAGGGTCCTCAATATGAGACTGGATATGCTGTATTTTTTTGCAAAAATATTATGCATTTTTTGAATCTGCAAATGTATACAGAGTGTAACTAAATATACAGAGAGATCCAGAATGATTCAAGCGTTTGGGGAACGCAGCCTGTTTCTAACACCATCTTTAGCATATAAAAATATGTAGCATTGACAGAGAGAGGCACAGACTGCGATCTCCAAACACTTCAATCATTTTGGATCTCTCTGTATAAAGTGTATAAGGAAATTGACAGTTATTTTTGTTATAATCTTATATAAACATATCAGAGAATTCTATAGTTAATTTTCCTGATACTTATTAAGAAAAGATCTTGGCATACCCTGTATATATCAAACTAAGTGCCTACTATTGCTGACAGCTTATGATCAATGAAGAACAATTTGACATACATATATTTTTTTTAATTTAATATTTATAAAACTTTCACTTTTTTATATGATTCAACGCCTGACAAAAACAAAAACGCCTGCCATATTAATTAACAAACTTTGGATAAACCTGTTTATGATGTTCATTGCACTCAGAACATTGGTAAATTCAATTATATTTAAAAACGTATCATATCAATTGTCATCTTTTGGCATATTTTTGTTGCATAAGCAACAATGAATAAGGAACTGTTTATATTTACTTAAAAAAATAAAAAAATATATTAAGTATGGGTCATTAAACTTCAGTTTCTTTAATACTGAATTCCATGCAGTTTTGCGGTACTAAACTTGTAGAATTAATGATTAGAATATAACCATTATGGTTATTTTACACAAATTACAAAGTGCTCTTACAAAATTGTATACGGGTAAACAATAATATTGTATTTGATACTAATCTTACCTAAGTAACCATAGAAAACTTATTTGCTTTAATAATACTTATCCAGATTTTGAATATCTGTATCAGAGTGTCCCACAGGGCTCTGAATTGGAGCGCCTGCGTATAATTTAACCAATGTAGGTATTTTTATTTTTCAATTAAATAATTGAAAGATATTTACGGTTTCTAGCAAACAATCTTTAATTGATTGAAAGTAACACACAAAATTTTATCTTCTCTACACTCAAGTATACAGGGTGTTTAATAAACATACTGCAATATTTCAGGAGGTTATTCCCTGGACTATTCTAAGAATATTTTGTCCTTTGATGATTTCTGAAAATCCGCTTTGTTCCAAAGATACAGCGAGAGAAATATTTTCGACAAAACCGATTTTCACATTTTTGAAATCATTAATGTAGTCGAAATAAAAGTACACTGGTTTTACCGAGTATAAACTTTTTTTTAAGAAAAAAAGGAGGCAAGTGCAGGTATTGAAAAGAAAGCAGTTTGAATGTGGAATTGATTAATCATTTTGTATGTGTGGAATTTGTTGAGACTGGCGTTTAGCAGTTTGACGTGTATTTTCTGTCTTTAATAGTTAAACTTTTGTTAGGGAAGTCCTCTATCATGAATACGAACGCCGAGATGACTGACATTCATTTACGGACTTACTGATGGCAGTTCATTAAAAGATTGGCAGTTGTACATTGAACGATTTCCTGACCGTAATGTTCCTGATAGAAAAACCTTCCAAAGTATTCATCAACGTCTTCATGAAACAGGCACATTGAAAAGCGGAGGACCAGGAAGGCCAATGACAGTAAGAATGGTAGAAGTAGAAGAGAATGTGCTGGACATGATACAGGGGTAGGTAAATCTACTCGAAAAATTGCAAATACCTTGAATGTAAGTAATAGGACTATTTGGAATATTCTTAGGGACTATTTGTTGTACCCATACCACATACAACGCGTTCAGGCACTTCTTCCAGCTGATTTTCCTCCACTATTGTATTCTGTCAAAGGCTTTTGTACACATTGGCTCAAATCCCTCAACTACTGACGCTGATTCTTTTTACCGATGAAAAAAATTTCTCAAAAAATCCATTAAGGAATTTTCACAATGAGCAGCGTATTTTAGTCTGGTTGCTCGTGATTTTTGAACAGTAACATACGGAGATCGCAGGATTGGTTGAGGTGGATCTCACTTATGGTCTGCTTGATCCCCGGACTTAAACCTTCTGGATTATTTCCTATGGGGCCATCTAAGTCATTAGTTTATACTACTCCAGGGGAAAATGTGGAAGAAATCGGTTAATTGCCTTATGTAACTCAATAAGAAACGACCCTGGGTTTTTGAAAGAGTTCAGCAGTAGGTAATTGAGAAGATTGGATTTTTGCATTTTAGCTGGAGTAGGTAGTTCTTGTAGATTAAGAAGCTTTACATGTAATTTTCGGTAATAAAACGTTATTGTCGAAAATTCTTCTCGCCCTGTATCTTCGGAACAAAGCGGCTTTTCAAAAATCATCAGAGTACAAAACATTCTTAGAATCTTTGATTTTTGCCGTATGTTTAATAAATACCTTACATAAGCTTGAAGCAAACCTGCAACACATCTACTGTGTGGTTCTTGAGTAATGATTGTACGAAAATGTGCTATTATTCGCTTTTTAATTCCAATTTAAGTTATGTTCTACCTTTACAGATTATTTCTGTTCTGTTAATGATTTCTTAAATACTCATTTGCTTATATTACGATGATTGGACTGATCACTATCACACCCTATTAAGTTTACATAGGTTCTATATTTAAACAATCCCTTTTTATTTTCCATTTATTTATTGTGATAGGTTTACTGTGTTTTTATGTGTGCTGTAGTTTTTTGACTGGTCGTACAGATTCTGTTGTAATTTAACTTGATTAAAAATAATATCATCCCGATAAACGAAGTTATAGAATATGTGAAACAATTCTTTTTCTTTAGTTTTAGTTCACTTTTACGCATTCTTAGGTAGTACAAACTTTTTATATTTATTGCTGTAGCTGATCTGTGAAATAAGGGATATAATCTGTCAGTTACATTATCGATGTCTTTTTGAAAAAGGATATCATGTCTGTTACATCACTGGATTGCCACTGGCTAGATCCATATAAGAAAAATATATTTCTTTAAAGAACTGATAAGGGTAGACGTGTTCAGACAAATTTGACAGAAATTCAAGGCAATATACGTAATTATTCTAAAGTTCTACTCGATATTAATAGGTACTTAAACTAATTTCGTATAGAATCGTTTATTTCCTAATTTTCAGTTTCAAATTTTCAGTCAGTTGTGCAATAAACAAATATGAATATTTGCCTGCCGAGCAAAAAAAATGCATCATCGATCGCGGCCTACTGAACTGAAAATAATAAAAAGCAAGCTATATTGTTTTACCAAAAAAATTCGTTATGAAAAAATTTTCAAAATAAATTTATTACATCTGATTCCAAATTATATGATGAATTTTATTTCAAATTTCAACGTCGTAGAATTTAATATAAAATTAAACATGGGTTTGGAAAATAATTTCATTAAAAATATATTTTACTGACAACTGTAACGAAATATAATCCTGAGAATCAACCTTTTAATTTTATTACTACATATAAAAGTTATTTTCAAGATTTTTTGAAATATTTTGGGTTTTCAGCGCCATCTTCTGAGTGCTCCAGTGAATTTGCAATTTAATGTTTTGTGGTATTTCAGAGAATTTAATTAACCACTTTTATCTATGTATTTTAAAGGGGAAGAAGAAGATGAAATTGTTTTTAATTATTTATTTTACCATGATCCATGATTCCTTCAATCTAAGTTCTTTCGTTACTGAAATCAAAATTCCTCATTGGCTGAATTTAAAAGTTCCTTAGAATTTAATTTCAACCAATCAGCAGCTCTGAATTCAAGAATTAGAGCGGAAAAAATTGCCTTCAGTCCTCGATCTACCACTCTACTAATCTGTGATTCAAATTTTAACCCTAACCTAACATTTCTTGTTTTGAATTTGAACCTAACCTATGTTACTACAAATTTGTTCGAATTTTTTTCCATTTAAATTACATTAATAAATATTGAAATGTCTTTATCACAAAAACATGTAGGGAAGGTATTTGTACCCTGGTTTAATACGTGAGTTAATTAAAATAATTTATAAGAATATCAAATTAATATTTAAAATTTTAGAGCGGAATGGAAACATGTTTATAATATATTATGTTCACAGTCTGATAAAAATTATACTCAAGCATTATATATTTTTAAAATATGGAAAAATCGCACACCCCTATTGTCGGCTGGAGTTGAAGGAACATTAACTTTATTGGAAGCTCTTTTAACCGAAAAGAAATCCTTATCAGAACATCAATTGGCTCAAATTTATGCCATATCCTTAATGAGGTATGCTCCAATTGTTAATTTTGTAATAGCTTCTTGTCTTAAATGTTTTATTATTATTTTATTATTATGTAAAGATAGGTGTTTATCTTTTTTGTATACTTACCTAAGTTAGTAACATTACGTAATATAATTAATTGACATATATTTATTTCGCTTCAGGTTTTTAAATTTGTGTGCAACCAGTAATGAAAAACAAGGCACTTTTTATAAAACAGCTTTAAGAAATGAGCTACCAAAGTGGTTAATTAATATTCGCCATGATATAGCTCACGACCACAAACTACCATCAGTTTCAATTCTTGAATTAGGCTTAAATCAGTGCTTGGAATGGATAAAAATTAAATATTGGCAAGTTCAAAATAAAATAATACGTGACTATACTGTCACAGAATCGCTTTGGAATTCAAAAGTTGTGGAAATATTAGACATATATGTAGAGCTAAATTTAAAATTATTCTCAAAAAATACAGATATATCCGAATATGATGAAGATATAATAGAAAGAATTGATAGTATAATTTTTAAAGAAGTCCCTCAGCCAACCACTGATATATCAGATATTATTGGTGCATTAGAAGAATATTTAAATGTAAGTTTCACAAAACCAATCAGTGATGGTGACAAAGAACAAGTTTCAAAAATACTAATAAATGGTCTACTTTCTATAGAAACTGAGACTTCTCCGAAAGGTACTTTTAATAATTTTTATTCTCAAGATTTTAAAATGTTTTTAACATTAATTTTCTTTCATTCATTACTTTTTACTTGACTTTTTAAATGTCTAGTCACTGAGCGATAAGTATAAAAAAGTGCAACCTTAAAACGGAAGATGTTGAGATAACCGTCAGCGATTATAAAATTACCTTTATTTCATAATTGTAGAAGCAGTATAAGTTTAAAAAATTACAGCAATTTAACATTGAAATCACAAGGCTGTACTTTTGTATACTTATCACTCAAGGATCTTGAGCTTTCAAGCTAATTTTGTTATTTCAAGGGACTCGTGTTATTCCAAAAGATTTTCGAAATATTTGGTCCAACCTGTTAAATATGCTAAATGACAATAATTTTATATCTTTAATCATCAACAAACTTATTGATGTTACTAATACCGTCGAACTTGAAAATGCCATTAGAGAAACAGCAGCCTTATGGATAAGTGAATTACTACTTGGTTTACGAAAGGCTCAGCTCGTTAGGGAAGAGTTAAATAGCATCGAAAATGTAAGTCTCTTCCATTTTACTACAAAATTTACATTGTTGAAGTACACAGCCTTCATAACTGATTATAAGCCACATGACCAGCATCGAAAAGGTAATAGTCTCTTCCTTTTTACTACAAAATTTAGATTGTTGAAGTACACAGCCTTCATAACTGATTATAAGCCACATGACCAGTAATTTTATTTCCTTTACGCTGGCGATAAAATTTCGGCAAAATTAAAAATTAAAACAATAACATTTCGTTTCATCGCCTGTGATTGGTGTAATTTTTCACAACATACTATTCAACCGGTCAGCGACCATATTAATTTGATCGTAGATGTAACGGTTTGTCATTGTTCATTGTAAACGAATCATTAATATTGGTGATGCCACGATTTATGGATTTTTCATTACGAGTACCAGTCGCGCATTGTTGGGTTGCCTAAGGTCGGCAGTCTTGTGACTTGTAAACATTTATGAAAGCTAATATATTATGATATACAGGCTGTTACAAATTTGCTTCTCACTACAGGGATCTCGGAAACGGTAAGAGATATGAAGTAGCTTAAATGGGGGCGAAGTTGCGTAATTAGGGAACCAACATTATGCCTCTAAAAAATTAAGACTAACATGATTAATTTTTCGAAATATTTGAAAACAACCAAAATATTCATTTTCAATGCATTTGTTCCAAATTTATCAAAATCTTTTATTTTGGTTTCTATGTTTATTGAAGTATCGTCAGGAGGAAAAATTTTCGAATAATCATTACTATTCATTAAATTAGTTCTATTGTGAGATGAACATGGGCACCAACTAATATTCTGTACACTAGTACATTGCACATAATATTATAAATGTCCCAAAGTTACCAAATTACCAATATTTTTAAAATATTTCTCTTTTTTATAAATTTATTTAAGACAAATTAACCTTTAATGTAAGTAAAATTATATGGAGTATAATTACTGTATCAAATTTACAAATCAAAGATTAGAAAACAATAAAAATTACTTCCTAAACTTAAATTTTCAATAATGTAAGATATTAATGTTTAATGTGTGAAATTTTAGTAAGAACGAACTAGTTTAAAGTGGGTTTTGCCTCATACACTTCGCTTCCTCATATTTCAGCTTGACCAATATTCATAAATATGAGACCGATATGTGCAGTCTTTGTGGTCTGTGGTTTTTTCTATCCCTTTCTTTTTCATTTTAAGTCCACTTCTTACTATATATTTCTCAATTTTTTCTTTACTGTTTTAGTTTATTTCTTCTTCATTTTCTTATTTTGTTATTTCATAATACTGGGTAGGAAAGTACCGATGGTCTATCTGAAGTTACTTGAGAGCGATAAAGTAAGCCATAGAAATCCATGTGATAGACAAGGATGGGTATAGTGAAGGCGTCTAATAGTCACCGCCCATTTCGCCATTCCACAAATAAGAAGTGGATCTTATTTGTGGAAGGGCGAAACGGGCGGTGACTATGAAACGCCTTCATTATAGCCATCCTTCTCTATCGTATGGATTTCTATGGCTTACTTTATCGCTCTCACGTAACTTCAGATAGACCATCGGTACTTTCCTACCCTGTATATTTGAATTCTATATTTTTAATACATTTATTTGTTCTCTGTTCTCTTTTCATTTCTGCTACTTCTGCAGAATTAAGAGGGCTCCATAGCAAATAGGCAAGCAGCAATACATTTTTATAGATTTTATTACAGTTTATCTAAATATGAATTAATGCACAATTAACAGACTCCCTCATTTTAACGCAGATTTTCTATAAAATGGACTTAGTTTCAAACTCAAATAACTTTTTGTTGTAAAGAAATTTGTAATTTGCATGTAATTGTGCATTAATTAATATTTAGACAATAAAATCCATATCAATGTATTGCTGGCTGCCTATTTGCTATAGAGCCCTCTTAAGAACTAAAGACCTTACTCAAAGACAGAGCCTATTAACATAAAACAAAACATGAAATAATTAGATAGTTGAGTGTTGGTTGGTTGAATGAGGTTTCACTGTACCTTTTGAGAACTAATAAGTTTGAAATTGGGTTCTGTTTGGTGATTCTAATATTTATTAGATATTTTAGGAGTAACTTATGCTGCTTTGGGATTTAGTCCAAGAATTTCCTTCATTATCAATTATCATTAGTTAAAAAAAGAAGTCCATTATTTTATTTTTTAGAACGATCCAGCACAGTTGGACAAAATAAGCATCTCTAAAATAAAATCAGACTTAGAAGAAAAATATCCACAATACGAAGACTGTTTGCAGTTCTCTTCCACAAGTATTTTATGTGATGGAAACACATTTCAGGACAAAATAGTTGCTACGCCAAATAGTTATACGTTACACTTTTTGGAAGAGTAAGTTTATTAATTAATGATTTTTATTAAAATATGGCACTTGATAAGAAATTTTCAATAAATTTTAGAGTATTACGATATAATAAAAACTCGGAGAACTATATTAGTGACATAGTCACCTTGGTGAAAAAAATGTTATTGCCTCGTGGACCGAAGACGGATGGAGAAATATTTACCGTTGATGATTTAGAAAACATTAATGTTCTTAAAAATAGAAATACTGACATGGCTGATTCTGAAGAAACTATCATTGTTAACGGAAATACCAATGCAACGGAGGTTGAAGGAGCCAGATGGAAGCCTGTGAAAGGTATTTTTGTAATTGTTGTAATGTTTTTATGAATACATTTTTCATTTTATAGAAATGTCACTCTTGTTAAATTATTCTGTTCGAGTTCAAACATGCACGGTGACCACTAGAGGAAGGCAAATTGGTTTAGTTGTTCCGTGATCTGATTCGTTGAATCTGGATCGTCTTTCTGAACCGGTTCATTGAATCGGCCGCAATTGTGATATTTTTCGGATCCTTCTATCTTGGATTGTCTCTTTTTGGTTCTCGATTCTCAGTATTCCTGCATCATGTTCTGTTTTTTACAGGGACTTATACAATTAGACGGAGGAAAATGAGTCAAATTTTGAGGAATTTTTTAAACTATAAAATATTTATTCTACATTCATCAGGATATTCAAATATTAAAAAAAATTTTTTGATTTCATTCACCGTCAAAATGGCGGAGTTGTGGTAGAGTCTCACAGCAAGGTTGCGGAACGACTTCCAAAACGGTGTACAACCTACCTCCCCCTGAAAGAGTGACCGCAAAAAACTGTGATTTTCGCTCATTTTTTCACAATTCGCAAAAGAATTAAAAAAAATACATAAAAATATGTTTTTGGTCGCAAATTACTTGTCGTAAAAAACTGAAATGAGCATAGCTTAGTATTTTGAAAATTTTAAAAATCACCCCTACTTAGGAGTTGAAAAAATGCCAAAAATAAAGCATTTGAATATTATCAATTGATATAAAAACTATTAGCATGTGAATTATCTTAATATATTTTCTTGGAATTTTTTTTCTCTATTTTTGGGGATGATTCCACCTCTAATTCAACATGCTTATTTCAGTCATGGGAATAAATCTTTCTTTGTATTAAGAATCGTTCGATAGAAAAATTCACATGCTAATAGTTTTTATATTTATTGGTAATATTCAATTCTTCATTTTGGGCGTCTTTTCAACCTCTAAATCGGGGTGATTTTTTAAAATTTTCATAAAACTAAAAGCTATGCTCATCTTAATTTTTTACGATTACTACGAGTAATTTGAGAGCAAAAAACATATTTTTATTTATTTTCTTTAATTCTCTGCAAATTGTGAAAAAATGGGCGATTTTTGCGGCCACTCTTTGATCTGCAACAAAATTTTTCTAATTTAAAACGTGTAGTTTCTATGTGACGTTGAGAAAAAGGAAAAAATGCAAATTTGAAAAAACGGCAAGCATTTAAAGATAAAAATCGAATTTTCATGTGAAATTTCTGAATTTGTATAAAAATAGTTTTTTATTCAAAATTTTCCAAAATCAATTTCCGTCATATAGAAGATAACAATGTTATCAACGTTTATACCAAGGGGGAACTCAATCGGTTCAATAGTTTTTGCATAATCGTGTACACCAGTTTTAGAAATGTAGTTTCGAGAAAAACACATATAAAGTTTTGACATGTGAAAAACCAGGGTAAAAGGGCAACTATAATCGGTAAACAAACTTGGGCGGCTATTTCCTGAAATTTATCCGAAAACGGTTAATTCTCCTACAAACACCTGGTCGACGAGTATATAATCAGGGGACATATTTTAACTAACTAAATGGATTTCACAGGGCCTAACGACACTTACAGTGTACGATAATTCAAAAAACGAAGAAATATAAATAAAAAATTTAGATAAATTAGGAATGAATACATACTGAAGATGAATTTTTCGAGACAAAACGTCTGAATCTGGTTCGGGCTGAGGCAGTACAGTATCGGGGGTCATGAAGGCTTGCAAAAAATGTAATAAAATTTCTAAGGTTGTATTTATTAAAATGAACTTGTTGATGGTCCTGAAGAGACGACATGTTACATATAAAAATTGATTATGCCATTCGATAGAGGGCAAAAGGTGGCCATGAGAAAATGTTATTTTTTCAGTATCACTTCGAACAAGACTGAAATGAAACAAAAAAGGATTTCCAAAATTTTGTTTTTTTTTCAAATATTTCGAAAACTAATCATGTTAGTCTTAATTTTTTAGACATAATGTTGGTCCCCTGATTACGCAACTTTGCCCCTGTTTAAGCTACTTTGTACCTCTTACCATTTCCGAGATCCCTGTAGTGAGAAGCAAATTTGTAACAGCCTGTATGTCCCCTTAAGTAGTTATGTAAAATTTCTATAAAATACAGCACAGTAATTAGCATTTAATAAATAATAATTTCAGTAATTATTTTAATGCTGAGCACAAGAGAAAGGTTTCCTATGAAAGTTGTATGGTCTTCCGATGGTTTCAAAAATTAATTTTACGCAAATTTTACAGCTTTTCTTATCATTCAATCAATAATAAATGTTCTTTAATTTGGTTAGTTAAAAACTTAGTTGATTAAAATCAGTGATTTGTAGCACTCAGCCTTGGATTTAACATGTTGTACAACTGGACCTGAGCTGTGTCGAACTGTTGTCGTTTTAAAGTACGATTATGATACGACGGTTTTTCAGGTTATGCTGTAGCCAATGTAGCTGGTCACAGACTTACATTGCACTTCTTTAGCCTTAGCTAGGAATGTTTGACCTGCCCTTGTTCTTGGGCTAGGCTCTGTGGGGAGAACCCACTATCGGAACCCCTAGGCCTGCCTTGATGTTCATTTCGGTTCTTTTGCTGATTCCGAGTCCATTATGGATGGTACAGCTCCTCAGATAATGATGGTCCTCTGATAAATTCCATAATGACTTTGAAACTGATCACATCGAGTACTTTCAAATGTTTCGTTGTGACTGAGGGGCTAATATTGAAAGTAGTTTAAGAGAGGCTAATAGACAATCTAGAAAACATTTTATTTTAATTTTTTCACGGGATTAATATTTCCCAATGATTATTTTCTTAATTTTAAACCAGTCCTATGTAATTAGGGATGATTCTCCAGATATCACTAAATATTAATTTTTATAAACCTGAAATTTTTTTGAAAAAATAATTATGTAACTTTATTTACCGCCATAATTATTAATAAATATTTTTTTTTAGATACAACTATATTTAAGGATTGCCCTTTAGGTGTCTTGCCACATCAAAGTAGGATTAAAAATCCTTTACTGGCAATTTAAGTAAACACATAATTTTTGTACTTTTAGTTGTTACTAATTTATGTCGATATGTAATAAATGTTTGTGTAATATTGCTGACTATTTTTAACTGCATTGCTCTAACCGGTAAAAAATAAGGATGTGATTAAAAGTCTTCTAGGCAAGAAATCAGTTGCTACATTACGATGTTAATGTACGGAGCGGTCTGTAATAAACATTATCCTCTATTTAGGGCAGTGACGGCTCGTCGTATGAAGCAACTGAGGTCAGGCCCCACTTTAAAATTTGGCTCACAGGATATATTTTGATACTACTATTCTACTAATAACCTAAACAAACAGTTAGGTAAACTAATTTACTTGCCTACAATATGCTACAGTTCCCCCAACACGCGAGGCGGTTAAAATAACGTTTCAGTTCGCGGTTAATGTACGCGCCGCATAGTACGCGGGTAGTGTCTGATGTCAGGGTGAGGGATACATAGGTACAAAGGCTTTAAGGTTAAGGATAAGGCAGCTATTAATTTAAAATAAATTTAAAAGAATTTCCATACAACAAAGTAAGACTAAATTTAACGTAATTTAATAGATATGTACCTGCTATATTATGGATATACAGGGTGACCCATTAAGAATGGAAACACTCGCGTACAAAAGTTGTTTATCGACCGATTTGAACCGGGTTTCTTTTTAAAGATAGATCTCTAAAAGCTCTATCTTGATGCAAAATTTGATGACGAAATTTTGATTTTCAAGGCCTACTATGAATTTTTTTTTAAGTGAAAAATAGCAAAATTTTGTTAGCCATTTTTTTATAAAAAAATCTGACTACACCACTGGATTTAGGAACCCCTCAAATGCATTTGTACCAATTTTTGTGAAAAAAAGTTTGCCCCTAAAAAAGTTATGACAATATCGGCATCACCAGTGTTTGCCGTTGTCGGTGAACCTATTATTTTAAAGGGAAACAAAATTAAATAACAAACACTGGTTTAATCATTATTAAAGTTCGTCAAATAATTATTATTTCGTGGTTATTATGCCAAAACTTACAAATATTACCTTCTTAGACAAAAATAATTACATTTATAATTTTTTTATTCAAAAAGCCACTGGATTCTACAACCATAATCCAATTCGTTGTGAAGAGTTTTCTGAAAAAAATATTACGAGATATTTCAGAAAATAACGTTGCTTAAAAATAATATGAACAAATGTAAAATATAAAAAAAACGTTATGAAAAATGTATAGAATTAAACGGAGGATTAGTGGTTAAATCAATATGATAGACTCCTTTTTCATTTTTAAAAATGTAATTTTTTAATCATTTTTTTTATCAATTGTTGTTTATATTAAATTGTTTATTTTGTGTATACTGGTTTTTATGATTCTGATTAATAATTAGTAAACCAGTATTTGTTATTTAATTTTGTTTCGCTTTGGGTTCTAGTCAGTTTTTATAAAAGAATAGGTTCACTGACAACGGCAAGAGATCTATATTTAAAAAAAAACCGATTCAAATCGGTCCATAAACAACTTTTTTACGCAAGTGTTTCCATTCTTAATGGGTCACCCTGTATATACATAGATAGCTAATAATGAAAATATATCACAATATTGTTTTATCCCTTGAAACACCTTTTTCCAAGACGTAATGACGTAAACTACTGTTCTAAACAAATTATAATCACTAGTCAAAGAATTTCTGAATTACGAAACGTAGAAAAATTGTAAAATATTTTTAATCATGCAAAAAATATTACTGGACTACCAAGTAAACGGGACAAAAGTTGCGATGAATCATAACAGAAATATTTTCAAAATAATATACAGTGAAAATTGGTTATAACAGCATTGCTTTATACGACATATTGGATATAACGACGGAATTTGGAAGTTCCGATTAAATCCTATAGAAATACCATTCTAAAAATATCGTTTACTACGACACCGTTTACGACATTTCGGATTTAACGACGAGTTTGTATATACAGTTACCATAAAATCTATCGGTTATAACGACCAATAGAGATATACGGCCTTACAGCCAATGCGCCGCTCTTCCGACCGCCCCGCCGGCAAAAAAAATTCATATAAGTTCGAGTCAATATATTTAAAACTTGAAATAATTAATAAAAATAAATAAAAAATTAAAACTTAAACACTGTATCTTGGAAACGAAACATTCGACTTACGTTTATATAAACTTTTTTTCACAAAATAACTAACCACCCCTTAAAATATTTCGCACTTATTTACAAACACCCTGTATATGTATTAATTACCACTTTCTATCACAATCTCGAGAAGTGTTTAATAAAGAAGAAAAATCACATATAATATAGAGACTAAAAAACGGCAAGCAAGAAAAAGAATGTGAAGATGAAAAATAAAATAAAGTTTCTATTCGAAAACAATTCTTTGAAAATGAAGCGTACGAGATCTTTTGAATACAAAGCAATACATGGTTATAACGACCGTAAATAAACGGCAGGGTTCGTAGCGGCCGGGAAAACCGGGAAAAGTCAGGGAATTCGTTATTCTTCATAAAAAACAGGGAATAGTCAGGGAATTTTAAAAATATTCATGAAAGTCAGGGAATTTGATGTTTGCAACTGGAAATTTTGTGAAAGCCGGTCCTGGGTTCTTGAAAGAGAAAAATATTTGTGGTTTTGAAACCTTTATAAGAGGTTCTTAGAGTATAAAAAGATTATGGGCTCCAGTTGAGAAAAAATTTAATGCATAAACACCAATTAGTATGTAAAAATGAACTACAAGTGACCTGGATTTTATTTTGAAAGTCAGGGAAAACCTGGAAAAGTCAGGGAATTCATTCTTACTTTTGAACTATGAACCCTGAAACGGTCCCTTGAAGATCGTTATAACTGATTTTCACTGTATTTCCCTTTAATCAAGTACCTACTTGTTTTGAGAATTTACATGATTTAAATTTTTTTGCTTTAACAGATTCCTCAAAATTTTCCGAATATGCAAACAAATTTCCCAAAAAATCATTTGAATGTATATAATAAATGTATCCAAAGATTTTTGAAATAGATAGGTTGAAAAATGAACTTAATATTTTGTACAGAGACGAACAATTTCGTAATTTAGAAGTTCAAAAAATGATAGAAATATTATGGCAAGGAATTTAAAATAGTATTTTCAGAAACATACAAATTGTTTCGCCCAGTTTTAACAATTCCTGCGACAAGTGTCTCGGTAGAAAGAAACTTTTTGTGTCTTAAGCGCATTAAGACTTAGAAATACGATAACACAAGAGCGCTTAAACTACTTATCAGTGATGACGATAGAAAAAGAACTATTGCAGTCTTAGTGGCCGATCCTCAATTTTATGAAGACGTTATAAGTAAATTTGCAAAAAAAGACGGACGAACAAACCCGTTTTATAGAGAGCGGATTAGTAAAATATCAAAATAGTTGCGTATTATTTTTTATAAAATCTGAACGAAAATCCTGCTCGTGAACATCAGTTTTTCTATAATATTGTAAATGCAGATGCATTTAGTCGTTTGACCTTGAAAATTTAAAAATTTTTGCCTGCGACGCTTTTTTTTTCTTGCCCACCTAGTAGAAAAGCCACGGGCCTCACCAATTCACAATATCACGAGCCGCCACTGATTTAAAGGTAGCCTTAAGTTATTCTTCGCTACTGCAGACTATATTTTCACTTTTTGTTTCATTAAAAAAAAATGATAATACAAAAATATGGCTTGGTGTTGTAAAAGAGAAGACTTATAACTAAACCTTTATTGTACTATAAAACAATATATGCTATAAAAAATATAAAACAGTAACAATGCACATATAAAAAACAATTTAACTGAAGACCAACATGAAATGAAAATATATTATTTTGCAATAAATATGGCGTACATTACAAAAATTATTCATTTGTTATTTGTTCGGGATTTGTTCAAAGTTTACATGTGAATGTTCATCTTTATTTCCATCTACATTTTCAAAATAATAATATTTATTGAAAACATTGTAGCATTTGCTTGCTGTGCTGTTAAATTTTTTTTTTCTTCTGAAAATTTTCTATTCATGCAGTCAGTTTTTATTCAATGTTTCATAAAGAATCGAGTGATGTATGTGATATTTTTCAGTTTCCCAGTTATAAACCAGACTTAAATTCTTTTAAATAGAACTCAATATATTTTTCGATTTAGCCCCGCTTTATTTTTAAAAATATGTATTTTCTTTTTAGAACATTTTTTTTAAAATTTATTGCAATTAGTGTGGCAGAGATTTTCTTCGATGTCAGATACAATCTACTTTATTGTATACAGGAGCTATTAAATTCCAAAGAAATATTTAAAAAATGTATTAATATGCAGATATCATGCATGAGACATCATTTGAAAGAAAAAACAAGAAGTTATAGAAAAATATTGTGTATACTACCGGATTCTGCAAAATAATTGAATAAGCCTCTCAAAAAAAAAAAATTTCAAAGGAAAAATTTTAAAAATTACCGGAAATAAAAAATAACTTGGATTTTTTAAACGAATCAAGAAGGCAACATGTGGTTTTCACTGATCAATTTTTTCTTGAAAATCGAGCCCATACCATCAGAATTACTATTTATCTATCTCCCTGGGATAAAAAACCCCAAAATTTGTACAAAAACAGAATCGGCAAATGTCGTGGAAAATTATTCAATAGAAAAAAGTAACAAACAGAAGATCCGGATGGAACTTTCTCATGTTTTGTCTTGGATAATATTTGTAATGTATACTAAATGGACTTCAAATTTGTTTAAATTTAATCATCCATTTCATACCAATTTAGTCACCTTAACATTAAATTTCTCTAATATGTTTGCATCACATGGTTCCCCTCAGCTACAAACAGTCAAATGTGTAAAAAAATAAACTCCTACAAAGATAGAACCATCAAAAATAAACTACTGGAACTGTTTTGGTTTGGGCTAGCACTTTTTTTAAGGATTCAGAAGTATTAAGTCCCCAGATATCTAATGGAGCTCTGCTCATGCAAGCGATTCTGAAAAGTAATGATTTTGTTAAAATTATAATTTTTTATAAATCCACAGAATATTAATTTTTCAAGTATTTTGAAATTTAGTGAACATCTCTCATCACTATTTATAAAATCTTGTGTACATTAGACTGGGCCAAAAAAATCGACAATTTTTTTTTTTTGAAAGATATATCGAGAATATCATTCAGAATGACGAAAAAAAATATATCGTGAGAGTTTAAGCCCTCGATATTAGTTTTAAGAGGTCTATCATCGCTAATTTCGATTTTTTGTTCCTGATCCCATTTTTGCGTCAAAACTGCCAAAATAAAATTATCTACATACAGTCGGAAAGTCCCCATGGTTCATCGGCCGTTATGTGAAAGTGATAAAGTAAGTCATAGAAATCCATGCGATAGAGAAGGATGGCTATAATGAAGGCGTCTCATAGTCACCGCCTGTTTCGCCCTTCCGCAAATAAGATCCACTTCCACTTGTAATTCAGCGACCGGTAGTCATCTTTGTTTTCGTCGTTTGGCTTTTCTTTAATAGATGCCACTATTTATACAATTTCGACTTCGGTATTCCGATATGTTAATACCATCCGTTAACAGAGGGCAGCACAACGCGTAACAAAGAAAACTTTTGTCAACCTACAACCTACAAAAAGGGTCTGATTTAAAATTTTTGGCAGACAAGCCGTTTTCATGTAATCCAGCCTTGAATATTGATATGTTTTTTCGATTTGATTTTTTAACTTTGGAATTTTGTAAATAACGAACAAATTAATATCTGAAAAAGAACAATACAGATTTTCAAAGGAAATTTAATGCCCTACAAAAAAGGTCTCTTAACATTTTTGCATACATTTACTCCTTCAAAAGTTATTCACGATTGAAGTTGAAGTAAAAATTAAATTTTTGTTTTTTTCGTTTTGGACCCAATTTTTTTCACTCAATGGAACAAATTGATGTTATACATCATCGACAATCATTATTCTATCAATATGATCACCAAAAATATCCAAAATTCGTAATATATTCAAATTTGTTCTCACTCAATAGCTATTTTTTCTACAAAAACGTAGTTTTACCGTCTCAAAATAATTTTAAAAATAACAATTATGTAGCTTTACTATTGAAAATTATTTATTTACAATATGGTTCAAAAAAATATTCAAGTTTATTATAAAAATCACCCAGTATAAAATATCGATATTAGCTAATACAGGAGCCTAACATTTGCCTATAAATCTGTCTAATTATTTTTTTCCAAGTGTTAGTAACTGAAAGTTAATATCTTCGAGGTCATGTTTTTTTTAAAATTCGAAAAATTTTCTACATACCTTGGCAACTCCACACTAAAATAAAGTGTTTATATTGCCATATATAGAATTTTCTCGAAAATCCATGTTTAAAAATATACAGGGTGTTCCATTTAAAAAATATAATATTTGGCGTGTCCCGTTTTTACTCGTCACCCTGTATGTGTCAAATTCATTTTGTAGTTTAGGTTTCTTGATTCTGTATAACTTTTCTGTATTATGAGTAACAAGCAAGTTATTTTACTTTCTCACACTAATGGCCCACCCTGCGTGTAGATAAATTTTTTTAGCTCGATGGTTTGGCAGTTTTGACGCAAAAATGGGATCAGGAATAAAAAATCAAAACTAGCAATGATGGACCGCTTAAAACTAATATTAAGGGCTCAAACTCTCACGATATTTTTTTTCGTCATTCTGAATGATATTCTCGATATATCTTTCAAAAAAAAAATAGTCGATTTTTTTGGCCCAGTCTAGTGTACATATTACATTAATAACCATAAAACTTGAATGCCTTTAACACAACACTAAGTTCTTCAAGATTGTAATATCCCTAATTAAAAAAAGGGTTTTTATAAAATATATCTTAATGGGCTTACCTTCCTCCTGAAATGGAATGTAAAAATTTCCAATAACTCGGCCTTAAATTGGTTGGTTCTAGTATAGCAGCATGGAAGAGAATAGCAGTACTAAAGCAGTACAAAAATTCCGTAAAACCAGGTACTTTTGGAAACACACCCTTGTCGATTCCCAGATTATAAGTAATCTGCAGCATAATAAATAACAAGTAGCAAATTGATCTTTTTTTAATTCTTAATTAGTATGATAAAGATTAGTTTTTGGTTAATCCAATTGCAATATGTGCATTATAAATAATAATAAACAAGTGATAAAATATTACTGATTCTATTCAATTTTCATGACAAAAAAATACAGTGTGGTCCTTAGGTATGTTATAAAGGGGCTGATTCTTTAAGTCCTTTAATAATCATTTGAAGAAAAATATTCTTGCGAATTTTTACCTTTATTTATTTCAGTCCTAAGTTTACTAGCCTATATCGCACAGTTTTCAAAAAATTTACATAGATATATTTTTTAAACACATTTTAACATCCCACATGTCAAAAACTAAGCTTAGACGATAGTTCACAAGAACCTTTATCCTAAAAATGTTTTTAAGAATCGATCCCTTTATGTATGGAATGTAGGTACCTAAATACCACTCTGTAGGTGACCAATTATGTTTTTACCAAAATTAATTTCCTTCTTTCTATACAGGGTGTTAATGAAATTATGTAAAAAATTTAAAGGGGTGGAAAAGGAGCAAAAACTGAGTTAACTGATGTCATACACTTATATCGGAAGTTAAGGTCATAGAGAAAAAAGCTAATTAAAAATGCGTTAAAACTGTTTTGGAACTGCTGAAATACATGTATTTTATTGCGGCAAGTACTTACAAAAAATTCTGTAACACTTTTTACGAGTTTGTAGGTTTCTTATGAAGCCGGACGGTATTCGAAAGTCGTTTCGTTCGAAAGTTTGTTGTAGTGATTGCTGTGCTATTTTTTGAGAGTACATTTAATGCAATATTTAGCAATCGCGAATATTATGATAAGCTCATAATTTATGGTGAAACAAACGAAAATGCTCACAGAGCTTGTCAAGTGTACTATGCAAGATATCCTGAACGACGTGAAAAAGTTTTGGACACCGGTGAAGTACAACCGCGTCGAGGTCGCGACGGCGGCCCAGGGCGACCCTAAGAATCTTATATATCGAGATATGTGCATCGTAGCACCAGAAATATTGCACAGCAAGTAAATATTTCGCATCCTGTTGTGTGACGGACATTACAAGAAGCTCAGTTGATCCATTTCATGATCATCGTGTTCCAGCGCTTACTCCTGAGAATTTTCCACTACGTCGAGGTTTTTGCGAATAGTTGCTTGAAGAACATGTATGAAATCCTCAATTTACAGCACAAATACTTGTTACAGATGAAGCATGTTGAAGTAGAAATGGTGTACGTAACGTCCACAACACACCACTGGACTATTGAAAATCCACGTGAAATACGTCGCGGTGCCTTTCAGCAACAGTTTTCAGTGAACTTGTGGGCCGGTATCGTTAATAACACTTTAAAAGGACCTTTTGAATTGCCTAGATGCTTAGACGGTGCTTCATATCTAGAGTTTTTGCAAAATTGCTTGCCAGAATTATTGGAAGACGTACCATTAAATGTTCGGCAAAATATGTGGTTACTGCATGACGGAGCCCCCGCTCACTTTTTTCGGAGACTGTGCAACTTTCTAAACATTACTTTTCCCGATCGCTGGATAGGCCGCGGCAGACTAGTTAGATGCCCCCCCCCCCCCTTTAGACTTCTATTTGTGAGGATATGTGAAAAATGTTGTGTATTTCATGGAAGTTTGTGACATCGACCAACTGCGTCATCGTATTGCCGAGGCTTGTAATACGATTCGAGAGGACGTGGCAATGTTGCAAAGTGCGCGAGCGAATTGGATACGTCGCGCTGAAGCTTGTGTACAAGCAAATGGTGGGTACATCGAACATCTATGAAAATCAGCAGTTCTCAAAAGGTGACTCCTTGCAATGTTGAGGTAAGTCAGATTTTAAAATTACATTTTACTCAAAACAAATCCGTGTATTTACCTCATTTTGACATAACGGACATATGGCAAAAATATTTGAGATAAGTTCATTAACACCCTGTATATGAATGCTGTAGAAATGTATTTTGTTTTGTACTGGCCATTTCTACTAATGTCAAAAATATTAATAAAAAAGAACAAGTTCCTTTTCTTAAGCTGGCACCACAGATGCATTATTCGCCTGATAATAAATAATGAGTAAATAATGAGTAACAGATGTCTGTGAATTACCAACACCTAGACTGGACAAATTTCCCTTGAGAAAGAGAGCACATTAAGTAGAATGAGATGGAAATGCAGGCAGCAGGTAACCTATATAGGCTTCATTCTTCACTCCACTACTTTGCCACTGCGCATCCTACCCGCACAGCTCAAACGAATTTGGTTTGCATCCGTTGCTCCGCATTCGGCCTATACTGCATGTGTGGCTCCAGCTTTAGATATTCGTAATAAATGAATTTTTTTATCAATGTGCAGAAATATTTTAAGTTAAAAAACATGTATTTTATTATTAGCTCGAACTAGCACCGAGTTACACACAAATGATGTCTAAATGTAATTAATACAAAAAGCGTTAAACAAATGATTACCTATTTTACAAAATTTCTTTAAAAAACGTTAACCCCCACACTTTTTACTCTATTTTAAAGATTTTAAAGCTAACTCACAGTTTTTGACATTCAACGTTTTAAAAATGCCTTTTTTTCAGTGTAATTTTTTAAAACCAGACAAGCCAGCTTTTTTATTTGAAGTGATAGACTAATACTTCCAAGTGCAAAGTTGTAAGAATTAACTTGACTAAGAAAAATTTACAAATAATGCTTTCCGATGTTGCCAGATTTCTTCAGTAGCTTCTAAAACAAAATTTTTTTAAATGGCAACACTGTATTTTTTTAACAAAATTTGACAAATATTCAAATTCTACACAAAAAATGTTGTGTCATATTTCTTTATCGGAATAGCCATTTTACAATCAATACACCTTTTTTGCTAAAAGAAACTACATAGTTTAAAATGACGATAAAGAATAACTTTTAGGTACAAATTAAACAATAATTATTTTTTAACAAATGCCCTTATAATCTACAATAATGAACTGTTTTAACAATATTATGACTAATAGCCCACAGTAGAGGCTCCCCCTGGAAAGTTGATTACCACATACTTTATTTATAACTCGTGAGGAGCTTCGTTTTGACGAGTCTACCACACATTTCCTCTACGACTTTTCTCGATTCCTCCGCTTTTCCATTCGGAAACGTCCAAAAATATGGCAATTTCCCGGGGTCTTGAAAAGTCAAGACCGCATCTTTTTTTTAGCTTAAGTTACTGGAAATTTGGTTGCAAATGCCGATTTAAATATGTCCGAGAGAAATTCTTCCGACATTGACGTGTCTACAGACCGAAACATGCCAAAATGACAGGGTATTGAAAATCAATTACCACTTAGGTAATTCTTAGTAAAATTAATTGTAAATAATTAATCCAGTCAAAAAGTATTGTTGTCCGACAAATTTCAAGCCGCGTTTTTTCAGTCCGACAGCTGGAAATTGGAATTTGCACGGGGTATGATCAATCGATTACCACATGTCGGACAAAAATAAGACACGATAGAAAAGTGTTTTTTACAAGCAAAATTGTAATGTCCGACAAAAATATATCCGCAAATCGTCAGTCCGACAAAAAAAGGAAAAAAATTTCGTAAAAAATGTGCACGTATTTATAATTTCTATTCAAGCATTAAGCAAAAAAGGAAAAAAAACGCATAGCATACCTAAGTAGGTATTTATTTTCAGGATGTTCCGAATAATGCAAATACTGAGAATAGACGACCTAGCTCTTTCTAGTAAATCTATCCTCCTTTAACTTATTAACGAAGCGCATTGTAATGTCAATATGCACCAAGAATTTGTAGTAGCGCGCGATAGAAAGAGAATCGCTCTGATGGTGGTGACTTTAAGATGCCCATGATTGTACTATACTGGTTTACCACTAAACCTGTAATAGTTGCTACTACTCGTGAAAGTAACATGAGGCGGGAACTTTTAAAGTATTATAGGAGAAAATAGTTTGAATATGTTGAGTTTTGTATGTATTAATCGTCTCAAAAATAACTTCATTTGTTTATAACTTTTAAATTTTTAAACATAAGTAAGCAATATTATAATTATTTATTTGAAACAAATAATAATATACATAATAATAATTAATAACCATTTATATGAAATATAAATATGAAATTTTTGGAGTGAAAAAATTAAATTTCATCACCATTATTGACTTATTGATTTTTTAATAATTTGCGGACATTAAATCGTCGGACACTTATATCACTATTTTGTACAGTAAATTTAAAAGTGGAAAAAATGAAAATTAGATATGTGGTAATCTATTTATCATACCCCGTGAAAATTCCGATTTCCAGCTGTCGGACTGAAAAAACGCGGCTTGAAATTTGCTGGACAACAATACTTTTCGACCGAATTAATTATTTACAATTAATTTTACTAAAAATTACCTAAGTGGTAATTGATTTTCAATACTCTGTCATTTTGGCATGTTTCGGCCGGTAGACACGTGAATGTCGGAAGAATTTCTGTCGGACAAATTTAAATCGGCATTTGCAGCAAAATTTCCAGGAACTTAAGCTAAAAAAGAAGATGTGGTCTTGACTTTTCAAGACCCCGGGAAATTGCCATGTTTTTGGACTTTTCCGACTGGTAAAGCGGAGGAATTGAGAAAAGTCACAGAGGAAAAGTGTGGTAGACTCGTCAAAACGAAGCTCCTCACGAGTATAAAGTATGTGGTAATCAACTTTCCAGGGGAGGGCCTGTGGACTATAGCATTTTCCAACGTATTAGACTTAATTTTCTTAATTTCTCGCCGAACTGATTGTCCAAGTCCATCAACAGAATTAGGAGTGGTTACGTATACTTTAGTTTTAAAGACACTCTAAAAAAAAAAGTCTAAAGGTGTGAGGTCAGGCGACATAGCAGGCCACTCAACTGAACCCCTTCCGATTTGGAAGAGGCTTATTAGAGGTTTTGAATTTGAATTAACTTAATATGTTTAAAATAGAGTAAAAAAATTTAAAAGTATCTATCACTCCCTAAAGAAAGTATGTTTCTTATAGTTTTTATTTTTTCTCAAATTCAAATTATTTTCAATTTCCTTTTTAAATTTGTGTATAGTTTTGTGCGAAAATAATTTTATGGGAAGAGACGTGGGACCCTATAGAATTCATTTCTTAACAAAATAAAATATTTCTTACCTGTGCGGCTTTCCACATAACATATAAAGCCACAGTCGTGTCTGGATACCTTGTAAAAGCCAACCCCGCTACTAATCCAGCAGGCAGCGCATGGGACGGACTATCCTTGCCTCTCAGCCGCCTTAGAATACACAGCGAAGCCTAAAATGTCTAAAATTTATTTAAAGGTAAATCGCGGTAGACAAGATTTTACCCTAAATATTCCTGAGTACACCCCTAAAAACGAGGCCAAATTTAATATTTCCTTTTTAAAAAGAATTCCCTTTAAGTTTCTTGGAGACTGAAATATCCTCTTCATGTTAAGGACTAGCTTAAGAGATATCTGGATCCCTAATCCTATACTAAACATTTTGCCAGCGCCCTGAAATATTTTTTCTAGATATAATGAGACTTGAAAGATTAAAAAATTTGATATTTCATTTAATTCGGTAGATTAATTAGATGCTTACTTCCATGGTATAATATAAACAGCTGAAAGGATGTGGGCAGGCAATATGTCTATCACAGCACTTTATTTTATATACAATTTTCTTATAAACACGCAACATTTGGTTAACTAAATGGAGGACTACATTTTTTTGGTTTCTTGTCTGCCAACTACCAGACCTATTTCTTGATCCATCATTGGGATTGTTTTGTACTTGTTGCCTATAAAAACTGTTCACTTGACTGGATCTCGTGCTATAGTCTTTTTCTTCGTAAGGACCCACAACAAACCTAAAGATGCAAGAAATACAAAACACCTTCATTGCAATAATATCAATATTGTCTATCTATGACATTATTTATAAGTTTTTTTAGTAAATCAAGTTTTGTAGGTCAGAAATAAAATTCAAAAACTATTACGGTGTGTTTTCTGAGCATTTTTAATGAATGGTGAAATTAAAAAAAATGAATAAATAGCTTTTTATTGGGATTTAGTCAAAAATATGGTTAAAAAAAAAGAATGGAAACTTCATCAGTTGTTTTCAACATATAGACTAGGCGGTATTTTTGGCTTTCAAATATCACTAGAAATGAAAATTTTTCTATGCGCATAAAAAAAAGTGGGCTTAATTTTTGGCGGCACAATATGTTAAAAAAATTCGAAAAATGTCATATTTTTCTTCCTAAATTATGTATCTTTTCAAGAGTTGATTTTAGGTGAAAATGGAAGAGGAAAAAAATGTTTGTAATTAAATTTTACAAAATATGACTAGTTACAAATCGAATGAATCATGATTATTATTGTAAAAATCGAAAAAATCGCCAAAAATGGGGTTACAAAACGTTACTTTTCAGGGAATTTTTTTGGGGTCTTTAAATTAGATATAGGACCTTCATACTTGGCTCAAGAAAAGTTCATGTTCTATAGAATCATCACACCAAATTTCATCAAAATCGGTGAGATAGATTTTGCATAATTTTGCAATCTAGCTTTTGAAAAAAAATTTCGTCAATTAGGAGAGCTCTGGCGCTTGTTTAAACATTGGTCGAATTTTTGTACTCATAAACAATTAGAATAACTTTGTGAATATTCAATCAAATCAAATTTTTTAAAACAGGTTTTAAAAGTTATTGAAAAGACGCTTCTTTAAAAAAAAAACAGATCGATTGGTCAATTAGTTACGTAGTTATAGCCGATCAAAGTTAACCGTCATTTACACTAAATATACTGGGACATCCGGGCTAATTTTTCGAAAAATACCTTTGGTATTCCGAGTACTTACCAGATCTATGTCTGCAGTACTTTTCTTCATTGGCAATCTACTTTAAAACGCGTTTAAAGTTATTTATGCAAGCGAGAAATTCAAGAAAATTGTACGAGTGGTGGTGGTGGGGGAAGCAGAGAGCGCGGCCGCTTCGGCCTGCTCGAAATTGAATCGGCGAGTTCAAAACCGCGACGCGCTTTAAAATTTTTAATATCTCAGCTTCTAGAGGTCCGATTTTGATGATTTTTTTTAAATCGATGTCTCGCGATTGAAAAAAAACAATTATCGTATTTTCAAATGCCTATCGTTAATAAATTATTGGTCTTTCAACAGCCTGATAATTATTTATCTTTAAACTTCCTTTCATTATTAACTTTATTTTTTTATTGTATCAAAGGTAAGTGGATAAACTTATATACTGTTTATTACAGATCAAAAACAAATTTATTTAAATATTCTAAAATTGTTTAAACAACAATTATTTTCAAAATTTGTCGAAAATTAGTAATTAATTAATTAATCCTCATTTCTTTTGTGATTAAAGTATAATTCAAATATTAATTACTGTTTAAAATATAACCGATGAAATTTGGTGTGATGATTCTACATAACATGAACTTTTCTTGATCCAAGTTATGAAGGTCATATACCCTTAAAAACTTAAAGACCCCAAAAAAAATCCCTAAGAAGGAATGTTTTTAACTCCATTTTTCACGATTTTTTCGATTTTTACAATAATAATTATGATTCATTCGATTTGTAACTAGTCATATTTTGTAAAATATAATTACAAACATTTTTTTCCTCTTCCATTTTCACCTAAAATCAACTCTTGAAAAGATACATAATTAAATAGGAAGAAAAATATATTTTCCGATTTTTTTTAACTTATTGTGCCACCAAAAGTTAAGCCCACGTTTTTCTTTATGCGCATAGAAAGAAAAATTTTCATTTTTATGATATTTTAAAGCCAAAAAGCCAAAAATCTCCGTGGATATACGATTCACCCAAATATGAACTCTTTGAAACAGATAGTCTGGACTAATATGGACCAACTTTTATAATATTTAATTTACCTTAATACCCGAAACATTGAATCCGATTTACTGTCAGATTTCTTGTGGTATCCGCCTTTAAAATAGGTTAAAAGCAGAGCCATACTAATACTATAGATTGCTACATCTCCATATTTTACGTTATGCACCCAATTCCTCGACCTAGCCATATTCCATACAGTTTCTGTAGCTACATTGCTAACATATAAGCACAACAACGTTCTTCGGCTTGGCCTTTCTATTAGAATCGAAAAGACACTAGCCAGAAATGCCGGCATCGCTGAAACTGTTAAGATATTGAAATGTCCTAATAGTCGCCTAAAATGACAGGACAAAGGATTAGTGGAAACATTTATATTCAAAATCAAAATATTCAAAATACGTCTTTTTTATTGTTTTAAATAACTTTAAAATAACCATAACATTTTCAAAAATTAAGTTATCAGGACGTTTTTTTTTCAAAATTTTTATTTTTAAATGTACATTTAAAAAAAATAGATCAAAATTATTTGGAACTATCTTTATATATATTTTTTCAATTTTCGAAAAAAAAAAACGAAAATTTGTCGATGATTACCATTTTTGATTTTTTTTATATATAATAAACTGACATTTTTTATAAATCCTCAAAAAAACCACTGAAAAAATTCGTTTCTTTTTCGAAAATTGGAAAAAAAAGTATAATTTTGATCTATTTTTTCAAAAAGTATATTTAAAAACAAAAATTTTGAAAAAAACGTCCCAATAACTCAATTTTTGAAAAAGTTATGATTATTTAAAAATTTTTTTTTTTTTTTTCAAAAATTCATTTTATTTTGAGTTGGGTGAAAAAATTGAAATTGAAAAAATTCTCAGGTAGATTTTCAATGGGGTAGAAAACAATAAAAAAGTTTCAGCCAAATCGAAAAGGGTCAGGGTTAAAAGTGGTCGATTTTTTTAATCAATAAAAAAATAGAAAACGAAAAAACACCACCGAAAAAATTTGAGGATTTATAAAAAATGTCAGTTTTTTATAAGAAAAAAAAATTCAAAAATGGTACCTAATCATCGAGAAATTTTCGTTTCCTTTTTGGAAAATTGAGAAAAAAAACTAATAATTTTCATCTATTTTTTTCAAAAAATGCATTTAAAAATGAAATCTTGGAAAAAAACCACCAGTCTGATACTTTTGAACCATAGGCGTGCACTGGAAAATCTTGGAGTAGGGGGCCACTATTACCCTCTTCAATAAAATTAGTTAATAATAAAAAAAAATTCTTTAATTTTAATTTTAACTGCTTATCTTGAAAAAGTTGTGCTAAATTAAAGGAAAGCCCTTTATTTTCGCTCAAATAATCTGTGGTGAACGACTTGACCTATTAGTTAGTAACAGGCTGTATAAATAAACCGGAAATTCCTAATTTCTACATAAAAGTATAACTTTATATCAATAATGATACCAGTTTGTCAATATAAAAAACTTAGGTATACTTATAACATTCACCTATCTTCTTTCTGTTATCATATAAGGACATTGGTAGATTAACATCATAATACAAACATGAAAACTATTTTATCAGGATTTTTACAAATGACTCATTTTTCATTGGGATTGCCTAAGGAAAAGTGATAATTTTTATTAAAAGTACCAACCAGATCATACTGGTTTTTATTTTTGATATATCTAACAATTGTAAGGATAAATTAAAAATATATTTATATACAGTATAGGTACATACTTATCATCTAGTTGTACTTATTGAAAAGTCAAAATTAAAGTTTTGTTCATCCTTCCTACTTATTTGACTGCATTCATATTATGTTTATAACATGTAGGCATATACTTAGCAGTAAGTTTATACACATTGCACTACGACTGTTGATATTTGAATCTCCCCTCGTATACTTTGGGTGCGGCAATGTTTTGGTAAATTCCCGAAAATTTAGCGGAAACAAACATTGTGTAAAGTTATGATAAGCAGGCACCACATAATAAATATGTCAACTTTCGCAAGATAAAGATTTTGATAAAAGATTACTAGCATGTTACTTAAAATCATAAATAATATGTTTCATATTACTTAATCATCAGTCATCACTAGAACTAGCAGACACGTGACAAATATTTATTTCTTTGTTATACATATTAAAATTGAGGACATAAAGATGAGACTACATGGTTCAACGTTTTGTTTTATTTCCCTAAATTCACAATCTGCATCTCTCTATCAACGTACAAAAGTTGCTTAGTAATTATATTATAACTGGGTGTAAAAAAATTAATCATTGTTTACCGAGAATTTAAATCTCGTTGGTTTATTATTATTAGTTTGCAAGGAGCAATAAAATTTATAAATAAAGTGATAGGCACCTTTTGGTTTATTTATTTAACATTGGATGGGTAATCGTGTTTAAAATTCGATTCCAGCTATTTATTCCAGCAATTTTATGACGGAAATTATAAAATGTATACAGGATGTTTCACAAAAACGTACCATAAATCACAGGGAAAACAATGAAAAGTAAAAATGTCAGTACAAATTCGTTAACTTATTTTACACGAATTTTCAACAATAAGTCATTATTTGATATCAAGCAAAAAAGATTTAACTTACACATCACCAATATGAGAGGCACTACAATTGACAAATCATATAAATGTTTTAATATTCATGCTAAAAAATTATTATTGTGAATATAAAATACTTATGCTTAAAATTTTTCAAAAACCAACAAATATATTTATTAAAAATTACAAAACATGTTAATTGTTTCCTGATTAAGTTTTTGATAAATAAAAAATTTGATTTTAAAAGTAGAGAAAAACAAATGTTTAATACGACTCTTCTATTTTTTGTACTTGTGCTAGTGTAAGTTAATTATGTTTGAATTCGGTGACGTTTCGAGATGTTAATAAGGGGAAATTTGCTTACCTCAAAGTGCACAAAAATAGTGAATATCCAAATCCCGTTCCACTAAGAAACGCTGTAGATTGTACAATACCATAAAGAGTCTTTTTAATATCATCCTTTGTTGGAATCCTACCTTTCATTAACAGTGTTAACTGAAACAAAATATACAAAATATTTCAAGAAAATACATATACTTTTTGTAACTTCATTTCACTAGTCAAAAATTTTAATTTTTGTAATAAATTTAATAGTACCTAACATATTTTTCTAGAAGAGTTTTTACTGCTGATTTGATGATGAATGTATAAAAAAGATTACTATGATGATGTTAATAGCAATACTAATGGTTATTATAATTGGAGTAATGTTGAAAAAGATAACAAAAGTAATAAATTTATTTTTAGCCACAATCACCTTATAATGGGACTTCTATCCACACATATGAACCGTCTAAAGTGATACTTTATCCATTAGTGGAATAAAGTAACTTTATTTCAGTAGTAGAATAATAAAAAAATAATAAACCTATAATAAATCAAATTTAATTTATTTATTAACATTAACATTTGCATTTACAGTAAAAGACATTTCGTTTTTTGTTTTATCACATTTAACTTCCTTTCCGTTAATAACAACCCTTGTAGCATTGTTGCCATCATATTCCGAATGTATAACATTTGCCGAAGTTTTTGAACAAGTTACGGATGTCTCTTCTTGTAAGGAACAGCGATATTTTCCTATATTGAAGTGCGCCTCATACAATGGCTAGTATATGCTTCTGATTTGCGATATTCAGGAATGAAGCAACTATTAAGGGTACCTTCGCTAATGTGTTGAATCCAATACGCTGAGAGTACATTTTTCATTGATGTATCTCAAAAAGAATATGTCTTGAGTTAGGCGGATTGGGCGCAGAGAAATATATTTTCTGCATTTTTCAACAACATTCACGCAAAATCCTTCTTCTATAATTGTAAATTTTCTTCAAAAGCCCATCTTGAAGGTATAAGATATTGAAACAAGTAGGTAACTGCCAACGTCCTGTACGTCGCTAATTTCCAAATTCGTCAGGCAAAAGAAACCCCCCTTATTAGTGCAATCCTTTGACCTAGTAAACTAGTTTTTAAGGTCTATGATGCAATCTAAAATAATTCAATGTTCACTACATAGGTACCTAACAACATATAAAAGGTAAAGAGATATTATCTTAATCATTAAATATTCTTTATCGGAAGCCCCAGTAAAAAATTCTTCAATATGTGCTCTTTCCAATACTACAGCTTTTTTGCTTTGTTCCTCTCGATTCACTCTTCAAATAAGCAGTAAGCTTGTTATATTTTCCAATATCTATATTTTGTAGACCTTTATAGTAGCCTTCAACATCGAATACTCCGACCACAAAAATGAAATTACATATTTTTTCTTCAAATTAAAAAAATACGATAGCATGACTTCTTCATTTGAAGCTCTGCTGCTTGTAATAGTACTTTAAATTTGCTTCTTAATTGGTGAAATGACAGCACAACAATATTTGACTCCAAGAAAGTGAATTAATGTTTGGCTAATGTGAGTTTTGATACAACTTTTTGGATAATGGTAGTTTTGCTCCAAATTATTCTACATAATATTATTTTTTTCACTAAAATTCATGAAGTTAAGCTAAGAAAAGGAACTTGGACACAAACTCAATGGTATATCAATAAAAATGTTATGCAATATGGTAGTTCATCCTAAAATTGCAAAGTACAAAAAATGTTGACAGTAAAAAGTCCTAATATCCGATATTCTTAGATAACAAAAGCTGCAAGCTCTTCACGTTGCTCACATTTTTTTATAGTTTTGGCAACATCAGATCGTAGGAGAATGTGACTTTTGAAAGAATTCACAGATTCCACAATTTAACACGATGATCAAGATAGTGCCAAATTATGGATAATGTGAGTTTTGCATATACCCCTCATTTATTGTCATTACTTTCCTTTTTTCCCTCCATTCGTTAAATGCGGCGAACACTTTTTCGTAATGTTCCCTGGAATTCGCTGGCAATAAATGGAAAATTGTTTCTTGAGTTTCTTCAAAAACAGCCACAGGAACACAATCATTACTTTATTGCATTTTTTCCAAATTCAGATGGAACTGTTTATTAAATAATTGATAGTAAACAACGTACTACAGCAACCAGTAGGTTAGTAGGTATAACAAAATCTACCACGTTTCATCGAGTACTAGTAAAAAATATCAAGTCGTGCGAATATTTTTTTATTAAATTCCAATTATTCTAACTCCACAAATATGATTGTGATGTGATTGTGGATAAAACGTTGTGTATTGCGTTCGTGTTTTAATTGCCTTTTATCCACTTAAGAATATTAAACGCTCGAACTACGTTCTCGCCTTTCCCACATATCTAACCCTTTACATTCTTGCGTGGATAAAAACACTTATACAATAAGTAACTATTACACTGTTAACAGCTAGTATTTTATACACTTTTAATGCAAATGTAATTTCCTTTATTTCATAGGTATATAATTTTTAATAAATAAATGTTAGGTATTGTTATTTTATACAATAGAGAACATTTTATGACGTTAGTGTATGTCCATAAATATTGTTCATTAACTATCATTATCTTTTTAATAACACTTTATTTAAAAAAAATGTGCTTCTAAATATTTGTATGAATAAAATATAATTTAACATATTTTAAGGGGTTATTACCCCGCCTATAGTGCTAATTCAAGTGATGTTCCTGTGGAAAATTAATACTAGTTTTCAGAGCAGTGCAAGTAACGGCCTTGTTTGAACCACTTTATAATAGGACTTACAAATAATTTAAAATACAACTCTTGAGAATACGTTTAATGTTTATTAATTATTATTTAGCAACAAGCATTATTTTATCATTATCATTTACGTATATTTATCAAAAAGATATTACATTTTGAATTACAATTGTTTTTGTGGATAAAAATGTAATAATAAACGATTAACTTTTAATCTGTACCCGAATTATTATTAATTTTTACAACACCGCAGCACAATTTGCAATACAATTATAAAACCATACAATTTTCTCTAAAATAAAAAACAAATTGTTGGTCTACTGTATTAACAAGAAAATTGTACTTCCAAAAATAGAACTGAAGAATACTTGCAACCCGATGTGTGCTTTTCATTTTTTGTTTATAAGGATTTCTATTATTGTGTACCTACTATGAACATAGTTAAAAAAATTGCTAAATGTTTTATATAAGTATGTCCAATAAACTAAACCATTAAATGTAATATAAATAGGCTAAGGTCAAACGAAAAAATATCTAAGTGTAGGCTATATAAATTATAGTAAACATTTTAATTCCTCACTTTATTAGTGATTTATGATACAGGTTAGAGGATAGCTTCAGACATTTTCAGAAGAAACTCCATATAAAACATCAGTTACCATTGTCAACATAAAACATCTCTTTACGATAATTGGACGATAGTTATGACTGAAAAAAATGTCTGTGTGTTACAGTGACTATTGACTTCCATACCCGGGAAGGCGGAAAAATTTAGGTAAGTATTGAAAAAAAATCAAATATAATTGGGTACCTAGTTTTATTTTAAGTGCTATTAAAATATAGGGAAAATGTACTCAACATTATTTTTATAGTGAAAGTCAATTCTTCTGCTTTTGTCCGAAATAAACTACAATCAATTTAAGTTTTTACAAATGAAACTATGTGTAAGTAACAAAATTTTACAGTAAACATGAACAAATTATGTTTATTAAGAGAAAAGAGCGGTGAACAGCTATTATTTGGTTACAGTCGGACTAAACAGAGCCCAATCTGCATAGTAAAAATGCGCCACTCCCACTCTGTCTTTCACTGCTGCGTGAAGCTAACCATGACCACCGCTGTAAACATTTACACATGTAGAGACGAGCCACATATTCAGAGTTTTGAAAACGAATTTTGCAAGTCGATTAAAATTGATTGGACAGTATAAATTTAACATTTTCTTTTTAATGTCTCTCATCTATCAATCTAACACAATTTAAACAATGTAACCAATCTAAACGATCTAAAAATCTAAAAAATAACTAATTATTATTGACCTGTCTTAAAAGATAAAAAATTGGTATCAAACATAAAAAAAATTTTGGAACATCCAACATACAAAACGTGTTATATTGAACTTTATTCAGTTGCTTAAAGCTGCCTGTTTATTAAAATCATCACACAATATCTATACTTATTAGAAAATTAGAAAGTAAAGGTTTATGGCCGTACTTTTATGTTTTCCTTAATTTTTTAACTACTAACTACATTATGCAACTGAAACATAGTTTACACAGATACATTATCCAACTGAAGCATAGTTTACACAAATATTTATATGAGAACGACCACTAAACTTATATATTTTTTTCTTTATAATAAGACTCAATTTATAACTACCTAATATTTGGTTGTCTGTACTAACCACATTCAACTTAATATAGAGCGCAGAAGACGCAATAATAGCACTCACTAATAGACGCATACTAAAGTCGAGACAACCATCAGAAAAATAGTGAAACTCCTGACAGCCCATATAAATACAGTCTGTTATTTGTATTTTACTTTGCACCTGCATATCGATTTTCACCTTATCTGTTAACACTGTATCAAATACACACACTTCCACTGAATGCACTAAGATACGATCAGTACTATCCTTTATCAATGCTAGAATTTATCTACTACCAATCATTAGATAAATATGATGAGTCGCCTTAAACGAATTCCCATCGCACTTTGCCCGTAAATTGGTTTGTTGCTGCTGTTAACTTCGACGGATTTGTATTTAGTGGTTATTTATTATACAGTACCAGGATTAAGTGTCACCCCCCTACTTCACTTGTTTATACGAAGAAAATAACGCTTGTACAGGTCGGATATGGATTTAATCAAAACATATTTTGGTATAAAGATATCGTGTTTAATATCAGCGTCATGTATGCAAACAAAAGATGATACTGTTCAAGCAAAGAGATTTTGAAATGAAGTTTTTACTAGTACACTAAGCAGAGAAATTAAGGGATATTAAAAAAAAATTTGGGTGATTTTCAAAGAACTGTAACTTGGAGGGAAATGGTCGTAGAGAGAATCGAAAAAAAGGA